CTTTCCCTGCTGTAGTGCACAGGGGCTGGGTACTTTGTATTAGTCTGGTGTTTAAATCTTCCTTATCGTGGTGGAGTACAGATGAACTCTCTGCTGTCAGGAATATTGAGAAGGAAACCGCAGTTCCATCTGCAGTAGTCAGTACAGCTTTCCAATGTGTGCACCGCAGCTGGGAGTTCACAAGGCTGACTCTGGAGGGGTGCATCAGCTCCACAGGTTCACTGAAGCAAGCTAAGTGGTAAGTGTAACTTCTCTTTTGCGTGGCTGACTGAAATGCTTTTCAGGGCTGAAGATACCTACAACCTAGTTCTGCTTGGAAGGGATTTACGTATGGAAAGGTCCCTTAATTTGAGCACAATTCCTGTATGCTAAAGCACCCACTCTACAAGCTGCTTTTTTGGACTCTTGAAATCTATTCAAGCAGCTACTACTTTTAAGCAAAAGAAATCAAAGATCCAGACTCTTACTACAGTGGTACAGCCCCAGGTACTGTTTCAGTGAACAAAAGTTGTTTGGTTTTTTTGTGGAGCTAACCAATGTGTCTTGTTTGATCAGAGCTTGCAGGTCATTTGCTCTGGTTTAGGCAAGAACTGTACATGCTGCAGTGTCCCACCACTGTGGCAGCTTGGGACCAGGGATCTGGTAACAGCAGTCATTCTGTGAATGCATTACAGAATCACAGAGGTAGTAACTGTCATAGTGGTGGCCCTGAACTCTTAAGTAGCAAAATGGGAATCAAAGTGCTTTTTTCTTCATTCCCATGCACAGTGAGGTAAGGGAGAGGTTTGGGGGTTTCTTTCTACTGGCTAAATGCAGATATCTGCAGATAGAGAATTCTAAAATGGTCAGTGATAAAATGCAGTTAGAAATTCTTCCGTATGCCCTGGCAGGGGCTTGGAGGCAGTCACTGAAGCTGAACAGAATTGAACTGCTGTGCAGAACAGTTACTTAACAGCCTAATTCTTCCAGCCCCCCATCCCTTTAGGTGGTCATGCTTGCCAATTTGAGAATTGTAAACCAACTAGCTCGTAATAAATTGGCAGAGTAACCTAGGTGAAGCAGCTCAGCCATGAGACCCCTGTGACAGGTGGCTCACCCTGGAAGATGTTATAACAAGAAGTCCTGATAGTTTAATGCCTGTTTCAGCAGCGATGTCCTTCCTTACCCTCTCCTCTCCCCACCTTATCACTGACAAGTTGCTTCTTCCCAAGAGTTGGAATCCTTAATGTCAAAATCCCTCCTCACAGCACCTTAATCTGAGATCGGTATTTGCCCCACTTGGTATCTGAACTCTTGGTTTTAAACGCCAGTGGGATTCTGTTTCAATTCCTCATTTTCTCAAGGGATCTGTAATGCACAGTTCTACCATGGTGCGAATACCTGGCTGTCAGTCTGAATTCGTTTGTGCAATCGTAGCTATGTGAAACCAGCATGAAAAAACCACGGCTGGCTGGCGGATACATTGCATGAAGTGGGAAGCTGCGGTTACTTTCCCTGATAGGGACAAACTGTTCCACAAAACGGGTTGCATACTGCTATGTGAAAAGTGTGGCCCTCCATAAGGACAGACCTCTAGACATCAAGGAGGATGGTGTTTTAAAAAAAAAAAAAAGTTTTAAAATGTTTAAAAAAAAAAAAGACCGAAAACCCATCGCAATATGGGAAGGACAGCCTCATTTGCAGCTGTAAGATTTGGAAGTTACAGCTGTCTGTCAGTTACTGGATATGTCATTTGCTATACTGATAAGACTCAGATGGTGATCTCATCAAGTCACTTTACTTGCTTGCTTCTAAAAGAACTATGCCTAAATCTGCAGTGATGGAACCAGGTCATCCCCACAGGAGATTTCTTTGTTCTGATGCCAGGTGGAACCATGTGCCATTTGTCCTTATTACGGTCACTGCTTTCCACTACTTTGAGACTCAGGTACAGATTTTTCAACATGTAGGTTGGAGTGAATCAGTAGAGAACACTTCCAAATATTAAGTCTGATGTTTGACAGTTTACTCCCAAAGCTAAGCAAGCTCAATGATGACAATTCCTTCCAAGATCATCTCCAAGCCTATGTTGTGAAATAAATTATGAGGCTAGTGTGCTGCTGCTGCTAACAGGGAGGGATAACAGACAAGGTTGTCTTAAAATAATCAGTTTAATGAACCACTTCTAAAATAACTGGCCTGCATATTAATGATGCTCCTCTTATTAATTAGGTAGTGCTAAAATACTGTGTTGAATAGTCTGTTATAAGGGAGAAGAGAATTCACTTAATGCTTCAGAAAGGGTTTTGATTGGGTTTTTTCCCCTGTTTCCCTCTCAGCCCACAACATTCCTTGCCAGGCTCTAATGGGAACAGGAAGATCCTGTTTCCTTGTTGAGGTTTGCCACTCTTAATTTGCCTGGACACTTTTCAATTGCAATTATGTAGATATGATGAATGCTAAGTGATAGAATGAGACCACTTAACTATGGTAGGTTCCTGAGGCAGCCAGTTTTGATTGAGGGAAGCCATGTTAAGTTGCAGTGGGACAGTTACACAAGGACAGAGTTGCACCAGTACACAGAGCTGAGAGCGTTACGAATCTTTTGGCACATATTGAATCTGGCTCCTCTTTCATTCTCACCCTCTGCCTTTTATTTCAGATAATAGTCAAAATCACTCTTGTGTTTCAGTGAGGGGGTGGGTTTAATCCTCACTTCTGTTTCCTTGCACTCTACTACATGGGTAACCAATGGAAGAAAACTGCTAAACTTAAGAATGAGAAAAAAAGATGATTGGAGATGCCAGAACATAGGAAGACAACCAGCACAGCAATTGCTAAACCCACTAGGTGTGTCCACATGCTATGATGGATCTTCTCTGTCTGTTCACCTAGTAATTGTAGAGGAGCTGGAGACGCTTAAGACTCAAAATAGAGCTTGAGGCAGAGGAAGCTGTAAAGTGAGAAACAATTTAATACAGTGAAGCATGTAGTTCTGCTGAGCAAAGATTTAAAACAAAAAACCTTCTCGCTCCTGTAGTAAGCATCTTCACAGAACTGCTTTAGCAAAGCATTGTGTTTCTACAAATGGGATTCAGGGATGATTCTGAGCATGAGTGCAAGTACTGGGGAAAAAATAATTACGAATGTACTGCTGAAGAGAGGATGCTACTATTAAAAGTTCAACTAGACACAGGCATGTAAGCCACGTGTGCTTCTCAGACAGCCCCAGAGAAAAAGCTTTTGTTGAGAATGTATATACCATGAACAACTGTTCTAAACTTGCAGCAAAAATACATGCTGATAGCCTGAGCCTACTGTAGGTATTTTTTTAGAGAACTTCCATTGAAGGGTAAGTTACCAGCTATATCACTTGTTTGAAAGTCATTTTGGAAATATTGCTGATACATTAGTAAACTTGTTCAACTTCATATTGAAAATCAGTCTGCATGAACAGGTCACAACTCATTGGAAATTACTTCTTCAGATTTAAGAATGCACAAAGAAAGCCCAAACTGCACAAATTTAATCACCAAATTCAAATCACTGAAGATAATGAGTCAACTTCCATGACAAAAAGTTATGCATGCCCTTTACTACTGTGGATTAACTTTTTCAAATATTCCACTGGAGAAGAAAAACTAAGGCCATGGTTTATATAAGCTTGTATTGCATATGTAGCATCGCTGTTTTTGTTACAGCGTGATAGCCTTCCCAAGGATAATTTCTCATCAGTTTGAAGAAAGCAGTTAAACCTATCCACAACAGTGCATGAGGAGAGAAGTCTTCAGCTGATGAACAGCAGCTTAACTCTACCCCATTCAACCCAGGTCAGATAATCTACACCTTAGCCTGATGAAAGGCTCACCAAATTTGTTTTGATACATCTCTAACTCTCAGCTGATGATTTTTAAACAAATACAGCCAGAACTTCAGGTAGGTAGCGGTAAAAAGCTCTGATGATGCATTTTCACATTCAGGAAACACAGGGAGATGATGAAATCTCAGGTGAATTGGTGTACAAGAGTTCCACCACGCCCTCTCTCAACCACTCCATGCTGGCAAGCTTTTACTCAGTGCAAAGAGATTACAAAACTACTAAACAATCTTTAAAAAGGTACTTTCAGAAAGCTTTATTGAATACTTCTGCATTTGTTACAGCATCAGTAAATTACATTTTGTATTAGCCTGCTTTACACTTTCAAACCAGTTTCATGCTACGTTATAGGAACTCTGTACTACCATCTTACAGAACAAGTAGTTTAGTTTGTAAGCATATATAGTGTGACTTAAATATAGTGTGACTATAATATATATATAATGTGACTGTGACAGGCCTGAAGACAGGGTTGCTTTGTCAGATGATGACACCACAGGCAAAGAAAACGGAGATCTCTTAAAACACTGTCATGCTGGTAAACCATATGGCTAGTTCAAGGGCTCTTTCCTTCTGCTATCTTGACCAAAAAAAGCCAGCTGCATCCCCATGCTATCACACTCTGTTGTTCATCCCAAAATAGGCACTAATTTTAGGCTTGTAGCAATTCTGGTGGTCATTAAGAAATTTGTTCGTTATATTATGGGAGTGAGACTAATTCACTTTTATATAGACTATCACAACTCTGTGCAGATGATGTCATTGCATAAATGAGAAAATAATTCTATATGGGATTCTTAAGCCCAACATTATTATTTTTTAAATTACTCTCTTATATTAATTTCCTAGATACTTTGTATGTCTACCTTGTGCAATTAACTTTCCTGTTGCCTTATTTGTTAAATCCACGCTGGCAAATGCAATATTTCTTCCTTGCTTCAAAATCTGAGCTGTAATCAGTATCTCTTCTCCAATCTTAGCAGCAGAAGTATATCTTCAATGAAGAACAAAATGAACAGGTAAGAGGCTGTACAGAGCACAAATCCAAGAATATTCTGGCATTTTAGATTATCATGAAGGGAATTAGCAAAAGTGAGTAATAAAGACACATCTCTCTCTAATGGCCTGCTTCCAAATCCCCATTTCTTAAAAGTCCTTGAGGTCCAATTAGTACTGCAGTGGTAATTCAGTATAAGAGTTCTCTGAGAAAATGGAGGAGGCAAAGAAACCCATTGGCTTGGTTCTGAGCAACCAAGTTCTGTTCCATTTTGGAACAGAAACAATTGGGTATCAAAGATCTCAGTTAGAAGTTCAGCTCCAAGTCCTATTCGAGCCACCCCTGGCTCCCTACAGCCTTTCTAAACCAGTCTGGCTGGTTCAACTGCAAAATGTCTCTGCTACAAAGGCTCCAGAAGGTCATTTCTGTATGGAACCTAAGCGTGGGTTAACTGCTTCCCACAGCCTGGTCAGAGAAAAGTCATGGAAATCTGGGAGGCCTTCAAACTTCCCAGGTTTAACACCATTTCCATTCATTAGATAACTCTTTGGTTTTATTTACGTGAGTAGGAGGGTGTGCTTTTAACACTCACTCTGCAGGGAATAGGAAGAAATTCCCTCACAAAACGCCTGGAGACAATTAGTTAGGAGGAACATGATCCAACCATGATCTGAGGTAAGGGAACAATATTCAAATGTTAGAGGACAATGTATAACTACTGGATATAAATCTTATTGAGATAAATTTCATCAACCAGTCCATTTTTATACATGACACCATGTCAAAAGTATGTCAGTCACGCCTAATGCTGAGGTAGCACAAGCCCCATTAGTTGCCAGGGGGCAGGATTTCAGTCTCTGTTCATTCTCAGAGGCTGCTGCTGATCCTCTTGTGATTACCAAAAAAAAAAAAAGTTTCTCTGTTTCCCTCTGTTCTTTCCATTACTGAAATAGCTTCCTCGTGACAACCCTTTAAAAAGCTCCTTTGCAAAAAGGAAAAAGTTGTATTATAGCAATATTCGATACCCAGTATCACTTGCTCAATGAAAGCAGTAGTCTGGGTTAAACAAAGCTATTAATACTGCTTCGCATACCATTTCCTAAAGGTTATGCTACTCAATCATTTTGGATCACCTCCAGAGAGATCACTTTCTTAAGATTTTAGCCCTTATGTTAATTGGGTAGGCATACTTGACAGTCTAAATAATTCAGATGTCAGCCTCT